CCCATCCCACCGGGGGGGAATGAGCGAGCAGCTCAGTTGCCAGCCGGGGTTAAACCATGATGCAAAACAATGTCCCTGCAGTGGCATCAGTGCTTTTACTTTCTGGAGTGTTAGTGACAGGCAAATGCCTTTAAGTACTTTGAGTGTTACGAGAATTTGTCACTTTAGGGTCATCATTGAATCAGGCAATCTTAATGATACTTTTTGTTTGTTTGCTTTTTAGTTACTCAAATGCCACTATTCAGACCTGTTTGTTCCTACCATATGAGAGGAATAAAGTGAATAAAGTGTGACGTTGTGACTCCTGAAGTGAGGTCAGCAGAGATGCTTGTGAATGTGACACTTTGAAATAGGCCGGTTGTTCAGCTGTCCCCAATTTAAATTCGGGAGCCCTGTGGCTCCTGCGGCAGCTTCATGGCTACTTCCGAGGTTCTTCATGCAGGATCTGCTTGTTGACTGCGTCACTGGCACGTATTGTGCTGGATTTGGGCTTGTGGATGAGATGAATCCATGAAGGGGTTTGAAGAGCCTGACCACAAGGCTGGGTTGCTCTCCAGCCTGACGTCCCCTGCGCAGGGTCCCGAATCGCGGCCCCCGCACCTCTCTGGCCTTTGTGCCAGGCTGATGTCCTGCCTCGTGGTCTGGTCTTTCTGTGAGGCAAGCTGCCACAGGGGAGCGAGCTCTCTTAATCTTGATTTGGGGACTCGCTGTCCAAGACCTGTCCTTTCTAACCTCAGAGGCCTTACCTAATGTTTCACTCCTGAATTCATCTCATTGCTGTTGGATTTCTAGGAATGATCAGCTGTTTCCCCTCAAATACCAAAGCTGTTATAATCTCTAAAGTCACCTATTCCATTTTATGGGACAACTACTGCTGTTGATGGGCCTTAGGGTTTGTGTAGATTTAAAAGTAGTCCGTTCTCCTTCACCAAGTGTACTGTATTAGTGCTGCGCACCCCGCTGCGTGCAAACCTCGCCCTAGGTGGCTTTGCTTGGCGTTGTGGAAGCACTGCTTGGTTGTTTGATGCCTCGCACTGTGGGTGTTCACCCCTCTCGTTCATTATTTTGGTATTTAGTAACGGTGAATATATTTTCTGAATATGCAGTGTGTTTCTAGGGTTAGTGATTAGACCATCCAGAGCTACTTGTCGTCATTAGGAACCTTTTCTCCATCTGCCCCGGCTGTTTTCAAAGCTGTGCCTGCTGAGTGTACTGGGAGCACTGGGATTCATGAGGCACGAGTGGTTTGCTTCCATTCCAAGAGGAAGCACCTCTTGGGATGGAGTGAAACCCATTTGGGGGTGCCCATCTCCTTCCTTCCCTCCAGCCCTTCCCAGTCATGTAGGAAACAGAAGAAGGTTCCCAGGAGATGCTCCTCTACTGCCCTTTTGTTGATCGTTCACAACTGGTGACCTGTGGGTTTAGAAGATGTTCTTGCTCGCTTTGGGTTCAGTTCTGAGCTGGGAATCATTCAAAATAGATGCATTTACTCAGATTACCTGGCAAGAGATGAACCTGATGAGCAGGTACTCTCCTCCCTCTTCCCCTCCTCCCTCCATTGCACCGCTTTTGGGGAGAAGAGCTGAATGAAATACATAGGTAGTCAATTCTGAGTTACTCAGCTGGGTAGGAAGACACCTGATTTCCAAATATTCTCCAACATATTTAGATCACTGATGGCTGCTGAGGTCAGTGGTGCCACTTGCATGACGAAAATCCATGAAGACATTTCCTGAAGTATTCTTTGTGATGAAAACAGCAGGAAGAGGAGATGGGGTAGATGTAATGCTCTGTAGGAAAAATGGTAATAGGAAAAAACTTGGAAGCAGAAGTCTGATTTTTACTTTGATTTGCCTTTTTTTCTTTTTGAATTCTTTTCAAAATACAAGTTGTTAAGCAAGAAAACCAAACATGTTTGTTTCTTTTTTGCTGGATCTCAATGACAGTAAACAAGGACTTACACAAAGGACCCACAGCCTATTTGTAGAAATACAGCTTGGTGTAAGAGGCCCAGAAGACAATTTTGTTTTTAAGATAGCATGGCTAACTTCAATAGGTAAATTTGTTGTGTTGAAGTTACTTGAAAAAAATACCTGTTTTCACATACAAATATCTCTGATTCCTTTCTGGCAATCTGAAATAGTGTACTAGCACTTATTTGGGACCTGTCGATTTGAATAATATTTTCAAATTAGCTGGCTTTAGTGTGAGGGAGGCTGGTTCTGCTCCTGTGAGTGTGTATTACAGGTGGAGAGACTTGAACATTCTCTTCTTCCTTCCCTTGTTTTCCCTCCCCACAGACTTTCTGCCAGCACAGATTGTGGGCGTGTATTGATCAAATTACAAAGACATTCAGATTTTAATTGGTTCTTTAGGACAGTCCTAGCACATACAGAGTCTGTTTTTCTGATGGGCAGAGGCTGATAAAGATCAGTCTAAGGACAGGTGAGTAGTCTAGGATCAGGAAGACAAGTACGGAGGGGGAAACAGGACGCAAAAAAGCACAAAGTGGCTCTGTCGTGATAGCCGTGTACTTGGATGTGAAGCAGTCTTGCATGTCGAAATGTCTTGAAAGATATCAAGGTAACTCCTTGCAGTAGCAAGTTACTGAATGTAATGAGGCAATGATTTCAGTGTAGATGCAGTACAGTTGTTGACAATTTTTTTTTCCTTTTTTTTCCTTCTGCAGATATTCCTGAAATACCAGAAAGCATCTCATTCTGCAGAGCACTACAGATAGCAGATTTCAGTGGGAATCCACTGACTAGGTAACTTCTACCTTCTTCTTAGTACTTGCCATACCAGAATTACAATCTTGCTGTAACAATTACAATTTTAAATAAGCCCTTAAAAATTGTGACCTAGGATCTCTATGAAATCTTGCCAACAGTGTCTGTCTCTGGCAGGGACTGCAGCAAAAGTTCAGATTTAAAAAGTGATGTGCTTCTTTCCTGGGGGGGGATGAAATTTGTTAGCCAATCAGGAAAAATGTAAATCTGATTGTCTCTGAAGTAATTTTCATTCCTCTTCTTAAATGCATAGGAAAACCATGCTCATACTTGGGAGAGATAAGGCAATGGTTAGCACGAATGCATTGGCACAAACCCAGGTGCTTGACGATTTGGAATAGACTTTAGATCAGCCGCTGCAGATAATGGCTTTTACTAATGATTAAAGCTTGGACTAGCATTTCATCACCCTCCCATCAATTGGGACACAGTGACATGCAGTAACATGTGGCAAAAATGCACTGCCTGTGTCGGTGGCTGCTATGGCTGCTGCCAGTCTGCATTCTGATGAGCTGGGGTTTGGGGATTAGTCACACTTCTAGTATAGAAGAGGAGTTTTGTTTACATTTCTGTGTTCCATTTGCGGAAGAATTTGGAATTTATCTAGTGAAATGAAGCTGGAGATAGCAAAGAAGAGGTGACCTGCTAGTTAAGGCCTTTGAATACTATTTGCAGAACTGTTTCTTAAGCCAGCCCGTGCCACAGAGCTCCTTTGTGATGCTGAGCAAGTCACATAAGCCAGAGTATTCACAGTGGGCGCTCACCGACCTGCTTTGCTTTGCACTGAGATGGGCTAGGAATACTTGCAGGATTAGCTGGCTGGCAGGGGTGCAGAAGTGCTAACAAACAGGAGAGTGACTGTAATATCTTAAGCCACTCCAGTGGTTTTGCAAGACGGCTTCTCCCACGTGTGCAGCTGAGGTTCTTCAGAAGTGCACTTTGAATATTGCCCATAGTGCGTTCTAAGTTCTCTGGAAAGTCACATCTCTGAGCATTAAAGGGGCACTTGTGATCTTAATCCCTGTGCCTCTGTAGCCCATTTATATAGTGAGGATAATAATACCACAAAAATCCAGTAAAGCAAACTGAGGCTGAACTGATGTTTAGATACGCAAGCAGTGAGGGTCACCGAACAGCTTTTTCCCAGGCATCAGTGTGCAGTACATAAAGCTCAGAGCTGCATCTTGTGGCATTGAAATCAAAATTGTCTGTAGTAGTGTGCTAGTTATGTTTCTCCATTTTGTATGCTGAATAAGGCCTGGGGCTCAAGTAATGTGTTTCCTTAAGCAGTAGTTGTAGTGCACAGCTACAGCTGAGTGGAGTTGACAGAAGAGTTGAAAGGCTTTTTAATGGGGTTGAAATAGATCTCATAACTCTTTGTTGACAGTTTAAGGGAATTCTAAAAATTCTTGATAAAGTGCTCCAAAGCATTTGTGTGTCCTGGAAAACATCACTCCAAGCAGTTTACTAAGTTAGAAAACACAGGTACCGGAAGCTGTTTACACACGGTTGCCAGGTATTTTCTGTGATGAGATCCAGAATTTCAGTTTTACCTATATAACAGCATGTAGGTTTTGGCACTAATTTGCCCAGGCAGAGTGGGAAAGTCTAGTAGTGATTTCCTTTTCTGTGTGACATCCTGGAACTTTTTTTAGCCATTGATTCTTGTCCTTATTTCCTCTAAGCTTAAAAGCCAGTCGGAGATCTTCCCAATCAACGTCCTGCCACTAATACAGTATGTTGCCTCATTGTCAAACTTAATCATTGATGAACCTGCAGCATTAAAAGTGGCTGGTAGACCATTTTTCCAGCTGTTTTCAGATGATTTCAAGTTTATATTAATAAAAAGCAGGTGCATTTATTGTAGATTAGACTGGAGTCCACTATATGCTATAGATAGGATAGAATAGAATAGTTCCAGTTGGAAGGGACCTACGATGATTATCTAGTCCAACTACCTGTCCACTTCAGGGCTGACCAAAAGATAATCAGGCCATTTAACTCCAGTCTTAAACCTGTTAGAGCCTAAACGGTAATGAATAGTTACAGGGGAGCTCACATTTTGGAGATATGGAGCATGTTCTGTTAATAAGGTCCAGAAAATGACAAACGCTGCAGAATGGAGTTGAGCACATGAAAAGCCCTCCCTGCCCCCCCCGTTGTAATTTGTCTTTTTCCCTTTCCCCATCACGCGCAGTTGTATTTGCCTGTAGGTGTGCGTCTCCTTTTGGCTAGTTGCCTGCAGGTCATATCATGTGCCTTGAGCTGGCTGATGGGGAGAGCAGGAACCAAACCAAATGCTACAGCTTGAGCTTAGGTTGCATGCTCTGGGGGTTGACCAGAAGTTGGATGGCTGGGCCAGGGGCTTCTCCTCCTCTACCTCATTGCCCCTTTTACCCCACCCTGTCTCCTGTGCAACTGCAAACTGAGCTGCTTGGTGCAACCTGGCTGCCAGCGAGCAGTGAGTGGGACAGGAATCCATCTGTGTGAGGGGAGGGGAAGCCAAGCCTTGCAGAAGACTGACCGGGTGATGGACCTAAAGGCTTTGGGAACTTTGGGAGTGTTTTGCATAGGGCTGCATTTTATAGCGTAAGCAGGGAGGGCTTATATGTTGTTGTGTTGTGAACCAGTAAATGTGAAACGCTGTGACAGCAGAACGTTGTCTTCATAGTGAACAGACTGTTTCTTCAAAAAGCAGCAACTGAAGAGTAGCCTAGTAGCTAATACGAAATGGCCATGCTGTAAGCATTTATGTAACTGAGGCCTGAATAAAAATAATTCATTTAATTATTTTACCATCTAGGTGATACAGGAAAGTAATAGTAAAAAAGTTTTTTTTAATATGTTTGATCTTTAAAATTTGTTAAAATGCTTAAAATGTTCTCAAGCCCTATAGCATGTTAAAGTTGTAAATTGAGGGCAGGGAAGAGAGGGGCTAGGAGGCAGGGATATTACCTGTTCTTTGACACAGAAGAAGCTTTAAAGTCTCTAAGTCATGTGTTTTTTTTCTTGCTATGATCCTTAGAGTTTTCTGAGAGTCATGCTGGAGTCTGGGCATGCCTCCCTCTGTGTGTATTTGCTAAATAGACTCTTGTTTTCCCCTACATGTTCTTTTTTGCAGTATGTATTACATGAATGTGAATACTTCTGATGGAAGTCCTTGATTTGAATTAATATCTCCATAGGTTGCCCGAAAGCTTTCCTGAATTACAGAATCTAACGTGTCTTTCAGTAAATGACATCTCTCTGCAAGCACTACCTGAAAACATTGGGAAGTAAGTTTTTTTTATACTTTATTACTATGTTAATTTATTTTCTCTTTATTGTTACGCCTGCTGTATAAATGACTTGCATAATTGTATGTAATATACTTATAAAGTTATTTACAGGTCTGTGCTTATTTTTTATATTCTTTCCGATCTGAGGGATCCATTTAAGAAAAATCCCTTTGCATTTTCACCTGACATTAGCAGGCTAATGCAGAATCTGAAGCATGTGTTTATGTTCCGACTCTGTTCTCCGGGATTTGGAGTAACTTGGAATTTTAGGTGCAAAGTTAAATAGGTGTTTTGTGATGCAGATCTGACCTTTTGCTTTTCTTCATTGTAGTAGATCATTGATCCATTATTGTTAACATGTCAGATGGCTTGCAGCTTAGCTCAAAACCAGACAATTGTTGGCACAAGAACAGATGGGTAGAAGCTGGCTGTGATCAAGATGGAAATTAGAAGGTTCCTAACTACAGGAGCAGTCTGGTTCTGAAAAAAACAGCAGTGGGAGCTGTGGAGGTGAAAACTCACAGAACAGCTCTTAAGATGAAATTTGATAAGGTTTTAAGATGTGTTTGTTAACTCTGGAAAGTAGAGTAGGGTTGCAAAGTCAGACTTCCAAAGTGGAGATACGTGGAAGGCAAAGTGAACATTGTTTATCTGTCTCATTTTGACTGAAATGAGCATCCACACTTGCAGAAGGGAAATCCCTCTGCTCTTAGTGGAGAGAAGGGTATCCCTTCCAATTTGAAGGAGAAGAGGTAGTTCATGTCTCCTCACTTGAATATGTGAGAATGGCTGTGCTGGTTCACATCAAAGGCTCATCTAGCCCAGCTTCCTTCTACAGTTGCAGTAAGTAGATGCCTAGTGAGGATTAAGAAGAAAAGTGTGTGTTTGATTACTCCTCTTTCCATCCCCTGACTGTTTCTGGTTCAGAGGATTTCCTGAGCTTTGGATTTTGGTTTGTCTAATTGGTAGCCCATAATGAATCTCTCTTCCATGTACTTGTCCAGTTTCTCCTTGAGCTTATGTAGACATCTTTAGTATTCTCCCCTGGCAAATAGCTGCACGGGTCTATTACCCATTGCATTGATTTCTTGGGTTTTTTTACGCCTGGCTCTACCTACCTTGCCTATGATCCCTAGTATTGGAAGAAGCAGTGAGCAGCTGATCCCTATGCACTTGATCTGCCGTCAGTGCCTTTGTAGTTTTCTACTGTATCCCCAGGTGTTTTTTTCCAGGCTGAAGAGTCTAACTTGCTATTCCAGCTTCAGGAATAGTCTTCACAGAACTTAAGATATCTGTGCTTTAACTTGGAAAAGTTATAGTTTGTTACTTTTGCTGGGAAACATACCATTTTAGAGAATTTGAAATTTCTTACAGTACCTGATTGTTCTCTTCCCCCCCCTGTTTTTAATCTGCACCTGCCTTTATGGTTACCTTGCCCATATTGTTGTTCTAAGTTGCCGTGTACTGAACCACTTCCACCTTTCTTCAGAAAGCTATAGTAACTCAGATGTTGAGTCATGAGTATCAGTAGAGGCCTATTAGTCTCGGACATCCTTTCATAAAGTGGAATATTTCTAACATGGATTCTTTGGAGAGTCAGTATAGTTCCTAACAGTAAAACCCAACTGTTGCTAAACAGAGGAGTCCTCCAGAAGGGATCTTATTTTTAAGAGCTCATGCCATGTAGTCAAGTTCAGACTGGCATTGTGTTAGCCACTTCCCATGGGTATGAAAGCTGTCAGCTGGCACCACTCCAGCAGCAACAGAAGTGGAAAATGTCTTTTGAAACCTTACGCAAGCACTAACAGGTACAGCTAACATGTGCCCAGTGACTATGGCAAGGTCTTACCTAAAAATTGCATGGGCCGGGGCTTTTGTGACATTCTTCCTTTTCTGTAAAAGTTCATAAAACTTTTCATGCAGCTTTTCGCAGCACTGGCAGCTAAGAACAGGCTTGTTCAGACTTTGCGGTTACTGAAAACGAAGGCCAAAAGTTTGGGATCCTGCCTAATTCTGAAAATGAATACAAGAAACGTGACAAGCTGAAACGATTCCCAAAGCATGAGGTGGACTGCTGCTTTGCAGACAGTAGCTAGAGGAAGGTTGCTGGCTTCCCTGAGAGGTCACTGGCTGCGGTGGCTCTGGCTTCTTGCTTGTCCTGCCTGTCATTTGGTAGGGTGGGTGGTGATAGCCTCTGTTTTGGAGCAAATGACTAGAAACACCTTTGGTTAAAATGGGGATACCAGACATTTGTAGAGATGTCAGTATGTGGAGCTGTGCAAGAATAAGGGTAAAACTTTGCCTATTATTGATCATAAGCTGTCCAGGGAAATGCTGTGATACTATTTCAGCCCTACGTGAGCTGTTGCAGAACAGAGCAGTGTAACCTATCGTCCCTCAAAACCTGTATCTGATTCCCAATATTGAAGCTAAACACCAGGAGTCCTCGCTTGCTTCGGGAAGAGCCGTATGCTTGTCCTGGTGGTCTTGGTGAGTGGTCTTGGCTAGACTTTTATTCAAGTCTGACAGGCCTGCTTTGATCTGGGAAGTGCTCCCAGGTTAGCGATCTAGAATACGAATATTGTATTTTTACAAAAACACTTTAATCTCATTAGTAGAAATTTCTTCTGTCAGATTTATGCTTAAAGAAGCAGAGACAAATGTGTGGGGCTGTTGTCTTTGGCTTATCAGGTATTCATGGTAGGTGGGAATATGGTAGTTGGGAAGTTGACGGTAAGCTTGGGCTAAAGATGCATGCTTTCCAACTCAGAAGAATATTAACGTAATACAAGGGAAACTCATGGGTTGTCCACCCAAAATGTAACTGTTCCTGAAGTCTGTTGGGGAATGTCTTAGTGACAGAGAGAAAGGGATCTGGTCTGGTTCCAGTTGGAAATTATTGGGGGGTCTTATTTGTAGCCAATTAGAACTGCAACCTGAAGTCCTTATGGGTCACTTACCTCTGAGAGTGTGTTTTACAGATTTTTAGCATTAGATCTATATTTATTTTTCTCAGTCTGATTACCAGCAAGTGCAGCTTTCCCTTTTTAGTTCACAAAATTTTCATCATTTATTGCAAGTGAATTTTATGGTGCAGCCATCCACCTTGTGTTTGGTAAAAAAAGTGAAATGCTCTTTGGATTCTCCAGAGGTTGCCTACTTGTGCTCTTTGTTCCCTTCTCTGTTCTTTTCCCTCTGCACTTGCTGGGACCCACAAAATGCTAGGAATTAGAAAGAAAGGAATACTAATTGTCTCTTTCTGGCTGAAGAGACCAAGTAAGGCTCTTAGAGGTGTTTGGATATGTTTGCAAATGCCTTACTGGAGTTTCTGTGTGCTTTGGATAGTAATCCATGGTGTTATTTGATGGAATAGGCTGGACTTACGTGCTCTGTGTGAGATCTGTCAAATAGTGAGCAAACAAATATATACTGGTGATTTATTCTGCTACAGTTGGGCTTGTTTTGGGAAAAACTTGGAAGTCCCTGAGCTTGCTGCCGGTCTTCTGGCCACTAGAAGATGTGGAAACTTAGGGAAATACATCCTAAATTCTTACAGTCTTATACTCTTGTCTGGGAAACTGCCTAATACAGCCAGTGAAATCTCTAATTCATCTTCATGTATGTCATGGTTTAACCCCAGCCAGCAACTAAGCCCCACACAGCCGCTCGCTCACTCCCCCCCAGTGGGATGGGGGAGAGAATCGGAAGGGTAAAAGTGAGAAAACTCGTGGGTTGAGATAAAGACAGTTTAATAGGTAAAGCACCAGCCGCGCGCGCAAGCAAAGCAAAACAAGGAATTCATTCACTGCTTCCCATCGGCAGGCAGGAGTTCAGGCATCTCCTGGGCTCCATCATGCATAACGGTTACTTGGGAAGACAAAGGCCATCACTCCAAACGTCCCACCCTTCCTTCTTCTTCCCTCATGCTGAGCATGACGTCATATGGTATGGAATACCCCCTTGGCCAGCTGGGCCAACCATCCCGGCGATGCTCCCTCCCAGCTTCTTGTGCGCCTGGCAGAGCGTGGGAAGCTGAAAAGTCCTTGACTAGTGTGAACATTACTTAGCAACAACTAGAACATCAGTGTGTTATCAACATTATTCTCATACTAAACCCAAAACACAGCACTATACCAGTTAATAGGAAGAAAATCAACATCATCCCAGCTGAAACCGGGACAATGTAGTACAGTGATCAGTTTGTACTTAGTGTCTCTTTTTTTTGGTTTTTTTTTTTTTAAGCTACCTATTTAAAAATCTGTGGCACTGCAAATTTGCCCTACTGTCTTAAATGGGGAAAGCAACAAAAGTAATGGCAGATATTTTCCAAACAGCAATACTTTGAAGGTTAGTTAAGAAGTTCTTCCTAATGGCAGATAATAGACTTGAATTGCCTGGCGGTGAACCGTTAGCGGAAGCGTGTCTTCCTCATGAATTCAGATATGCAGTCCATTTTTCCCATGCTCTGATGTAGAAGATGAATGCCAATGTTCAGCTTCACTGTCCCAGGCCAGTGTCTGAACTTGTTAAAGCCATTGGTATGTAGAGTTGCTGTTAATATTTTTACTGTGCCATTAAGAATTATTCTGCATAGACCTTTTATATTTTTCTTTTCCTTTGTGTTGCCAAAAGGAGTATTTTTAAGGGTCCCAACTGGACGTTTGAAGAACATAGGCAAGGCCTCCCTTGAACCTTTGTCTTTCCTCTTGCTTGTGCATAGCCATGCTCAGTGTATGTCAGCTTCTCTTCTTCTGTGTGATCGCTTCAATCTGCTTATTCAGTGCTGGTCTATGTGCTGAAAGTTTTCCCTTGTTAGATGAAGCATTCCTCTTTTAAGCTCATGTATTGTTTTAGGGCATACTAGAACTGCTTTAGGAACTTGATAACAGACTAGATGTCTTAATATTACCAGTGTTATTTTTTCTGTTTCTCTGTGATTTGTGTTCTCTTAACTCGTGGTGTGATTGCTATCTGGAGTGAAACAGTGAATGCTAATG